TTTTAATTCACCCAAATAAATGAAAATACTGAAATAAAATTTCCATCACAATGAATATCTTTGAAAAAAGAACTGTCCTAAATATATGCAGAGATGCCAACTGCACCAGCAAGCCAAAATAATTAAAAAAAAAAAACGATAAATAACTACAATGTAAATTTTGCGAATATTTGACTATTTTTGCTTGCTTTTTAAAAGGTATTGCATGACGTAAGTGCTACGAAGTGGTGAATAATATAAGCCTACGAATTATTTAGAAATAGTGGTGTATAAAAATTTACTAAATTGAATTCATTAAACCAAGAATCACAATTGATAAACTACCACTTTAAAATATATATTTGCTGTCCGGAGCAAGTTGGCATCTCTGTCTATGATGTTGGGCGTAAACCAGTTAAGTAGTTATCACTAAAATAAATTTTTCCAAGAAGCGTTTGCAGCCCTGAGTATGATCTATATTAAAAGTACCACTTTTTATTACACTTTTTCTTTATAAATTAGACGTTAATTCTTTACTGAAACCATGTCTCACAGAATACGATGAAATACCTGCCAACTTTTAATCCCTTCCATTATCATTTTTCCCAGTGGTATTAAAACTTCAATCTTAAGCACACAAATACGTTGTATTTGAAAAAACTTAAGTTGACAACCATGATAGTAACGCATATTAATATATGTGCTTCATTTTTGTAAGAATAGTTGTGATCAAAATCATTTAAAAATTAGGTTTATAAAAGAAAAAATAGTATATATTTACTACCACTTTAAATATGAAAATAAAATCTTCCGGAAAATCCGGAAGAGTTGGCAGAAAAGATCCNTTATAAAAGTAATTGAGAGAAATTTATCATCTATATTTGAGAATTGAATCTGTAGTGGTTGACAAGTGAATAAGGCAAACCAATAATATTCATAAATGAAACAAATTTTTAGTCATATATTTACTACCACTTTCTTATTTTAACTAAATTATGTATTAAATGACTCGTTCGGAAAGTGGATATCCTTCACAGTGGTCTGATCGGACTACCTAAAAAAAACCGTGTGGAGGCTTTCAGTTATAGGGGGCGTTGACTAAACCCGTAAAGAAAATGTTATTACTAAAGATTTTTAAAAGTAACAAAAAATTTACAATAACTTTTATCTACCAATTTTAAAGTTTAAATTAATTTAATATATAAGTATGAAGCTCATTAGATATGTAAGTATTATTTAATTTTGACAATAATATGTTAATGCGGACGACGGTCTGCATGTGTTTTCAATAAAGCTAATCAGTCAGGAAGTGAATATTGAGTCTATTTCAGAGATGCCAACTGCTCCGGACAAGCCAAAATAATTTTAAAAAAACGGTAAATAACTACAAAGTAAATTTTGCAAATATTTGACTATTTTTGCTTGCTTTTTTAAAGGTTTAGCATAGCATTTTTACGATAAAGTGGGAAATTGTATAAACCTACGAATCATTTAGAAATAGTGGTGGATAAAAATCTACTAAATTTTATTTATTAAACCAAGAATCACAATTGATAAACTACCACTTTAAAATATCCGGAGCAAGGTGGCATCTCTGCTATTTTGCAAGACTCAAGAGATTGTCACCAAACTTCGGCATAACTTGGTTAATATTTTTATCAGTGAGTTGTAAAGAGTTTCATTTTAGTTTGAAATATTAATTTCTTAATTATAATTACTATACAGGTAAGTAAAGAAACATATTTTTACGGCAAAATTGAATTTGTTGTTCTCCACCGTTTTTTAAAACTTTTCGACGAATTCATAGCAGTTGGCATCTCTGGAGTAATGGCATGAAATAAAAAACGGTTTTTCTCAAAAGTAAAGATTAAACATTCAGGCCTGCCAAACTACCACGCTTTTTGCAAAATATTTTAAATAGTGATAGGCATTTAATTACCAAAGCATTCAAAATTTTCAATAATTTTACCAGCATTTAACCGGTTAACGCCCAGCGTCATATATTTAGGACAGTTCCTTTTTTCAAAGACATTCATTGTGGTGGGAAACTTTTTTTAGCATTCTCATTCATCAGGGTGAATTAAGAGATTCTCAGATACCATGATAATTTAGTTATTTCTGATTAGATCTAGAATTATAAGGAGCAAGTACTTTTTGATCCATCAAAGACTTTTTGAATGCTCTAACAGTAGAAAAACCAATTAATTTTGATAATATATTTTACCACTTTTTCCATAAAGCCACTTTTTGTATCATTTTAATATATAAATTCGCGACAAAACGGGTTAAAATGTCTTCCACCAATTTGTAGTTTATGGGTCTTTAAGGTTTTAATACTATGTTTACGGGACGCGTCATTTTAACGCACTTCGAGCTTTGTAAGAAAAATTACAAAACCCGTTGGCATTTACATAATGATAAATAGAAATGTACCGACAAAACTTAGATCCGTTATCCTATATCGTTATCTCAAATGAAGCAAGCGATAAACAACTGTTGCCGATAAGCAATAGTAGAAAGAATAAAGGCAGAATGTCAATTGATGTCAGATTTTGAAGGTCGCAGAGATAGGTGTATCTGAGAAACGTTCGTAAACCTAGTATTAACACAGTTTAACAGCTCTTTTGAGGTGCAACGTAACTTAGTTGTAAAATACAAGACGGTAATCTTTTTTAGTAGTATAGGCCAGCCATGTACTACTCTTTTTGTAAAATATTTTATATAATGATAGACATTTAAAAACCCAAGCTTTCAGAATTTGTGGCAATTTTGTAAATATTTTAAAAGCTTCACCACAAAATAGCTGGAAAAAATTAGCGTTGCATATGAACTTTTAAGTCATTTATATGTAGTTGCGGGCAAAAAAAGTTTAAATGGGTAAAAACTAATACATCAAAACATAAACTTAGCTACCACTTGAATTAATTTTTATAGAAATAGTGGGAAGTTGGCTGCCCTGGTAGTAAATGTGTCCAATAATCTTTCCTGCCAACTTTACCGAATTTTTAGAAAATTAATTTTTTTATATTTAATTTCGAAGTAAAATTTATGTTTTTTTATTGCTGCCAAAAACTAAGAATTTTTTCACATCACTTTATTTTTATATTTAGAGTAATAATGAATCTTATAAATTTCTGTTTACTTCTTTTAATGCAAATAAATAAACCTTATAAATAAAAACANTAATCTGATTAAGGATATTTTCGGAAAATTCAAAAGTTTGCAAGTATGTTAAAAATACGAAAACAAATAAAACAAAATTAAAATTGGTATTAAAACTACAATCATAAAATATTCAACAGGCTGTTATGAATGTTAATTAATAGATTTTAAGAAGGTAATTTCGAAAAAATTATTTCTTATAATAGAAAATTGCGCCACTTATTCACTAAACCATCACCTCCTACATCAAAAAGCCTCCACACTGTCTTTTATAAGTAGTCCGCGCAGACTGTATGACAAGTGAACAAGTTGTGCGCATGAACCCAAAACCTTTTATAAAAGTAATTGAGAGAGATTTATCATATATATTTGAGAATTGAATATGTAGTGGTTGATAAGTGAGTAAGGTAAACCAATAATATTCACAAATAAAACAAATTTTTAGTCATACATTTACTACCACTTTCTTATTTTAACTAAATTTTGTATTAAATTACTCGTTCGGAAAGTGGATACCCTTCACAGTGGTCTGATGGGACTACCTACAAAAAACCGTGTGGAGGCATTGACTAAACCCGTAAAGAAAATGTTATTACTAAAGATTTTTAAAAGTAACAAAAAATTGACAATAACTTTTATCTACCAATTTTAAGGTCTAAATTAATTTAATATATAAATATGAAGCTCATTAGCATATCTGCCAACTTTTAATCGCTTCCATTATGATTTTTCCAAGTGGTATCAAAATGGAATTTAAATTTCAATTTTGCGCAAAAGAAAACGTTGTATTTGGAAAAGCTTAAACAGACAACTACGGCAGTAACGCGTATAAATATACATGCTTAATTTTTTTAAGAATAGTGGTGATCAAAATGCTTTAAATATTAAGTTTATAAAAGAAAAAATAATATATATTTACTACCACTTTAAATATAAAAATAAAATTTTACGCCAAATGCGTAAAAGTTGGCAGGTATGCATTAGAGATATAAGTATTATTTAATTTTGACAATAGTATGTTAATGCGGACGAAGGTCTGCATGTGTTTTCAATAAAGCTAATCAGTCAGGAAGTGAATATTGAGTCTATTTTGCAAGACTCAAAAGATTATCACCAAACTTCGGCATAACTTGGTTAATATTTTTATCAGTGAGTTGTAAAGAGTTTCTTTTTAGTTTGAAATATTAATTTCTTAACTATAATTTCTATACAGGGAAGTAAAGAAACATATTTTTACAGCAAATTTTAATTTGTTGTTCGCTACCGTTTTTTAAAACTTTTTGACGAATTCATAGCATCTCTGGAGTAATGGCCTGAAATAAAAGACGGTTTTTCTCAAAAGTAAAGATTAAACAATCAGGCCTGCCAAACTACCACGTCTTTTGCAAAATATTTTAGATAGTGATAGACATTTAATTACCAAAGCATTTAGAATTTTCAATAATGTTACCAACATTTTAAAAGCCTCGCCAAGAAAGAGCTTTAACAGAGCCATTAAATTACGATTTCTCATAATTCGATTTCTCAGATACTATTCAAAATGTGGAAGAAAAAAAATTGAAAAAAATTACAGAACAATGACGAAGGAAAAAAAGTAGTATAATTAATTAAATAATTTAATTGAAGAGAGAATAATTAATTTAAGATTTTTCTGTACAAAATTGGAATATTTTAAAATATTTAAAATTATTATGTGATGTAATAATTTCAATAATATTAAATACTATTATTTAGTTATTTTATTTCGCTTAATTTTATTATATTTAATTATTATTATTATATTTAATGTATATATATTATTTTATAAATATAAAAATTATTAAATGTTGAATATTTTAAAATATTAAAAAATTACTTACCCCAGATCAATATCTTCCAGAGGAGGAGGAGGGAATAACATTGGCTTCTTACTCAAACTGAATATACGAATCATAGTTTAATCAAATGTTAAATCTTTTAATAAATATAAACTGTTTTCTCATTCTCTGTTCGTTAATATCCCAAATTTTCTACTATCTAAGAACGAAATATTCAGTCTTTCAAATTATAAATTGCATAATGATGTTAAACTCTAACTGAACTTAATTTTTTTTTTAAATTTTAAATAAACCAGAATCAGAATGCATATATACTTCCAAATACTTTTTTAAGTTTATTTTGTTTTTAAATATATAAGAATTAGCATTTGAAGTGAACTTCTTAAACACAATTTTTCTTTCTTTCGCTAAGTCTTTGGAAACTCATAACACATAGCTCTCATAAAACTTATTCTAATAATTTAATTAAAAATAATTCTTGAAAAAAATAATTCGTTCGATATTGTAATTAAGTTCAATTATTTTTTATCTCTGGTCTTAAAAGAAAATATTCTTTCGAAACAGACGGCGTTTTTCTCATTCCAGTTTTTTCCACTATACTTATTTTTCATTTCATTTTCGTTGATTGCATTTTCTTTAATAAGCACATCGCGTAATCTCTTTTTTTGAAAACATGTTTTAGTTCAAATGAAAAGTCGGAAAAATAGTTTTGTTTATTCCAGAAAACTTTTATGAATAATTGAAGAAACCAATTTTAGTTTATATCCCTCATATATGTTACAGTTTTAAAATTGGGTGGCTTTAAAAATGGCATATTGTAGATTTTGAAATTAAATTTCGCACAAAATACTGCGGTGCAGGAAGCCATTTTTTTTTAGTTTTATATAATTGGATTCATGTATATTTTATACAATGCAAATTAAAAAATCAGTTTATATGCGTCACGCATTTATGAAATCATGCACCCTATTTTCAAAACTTGATTCACAAAAACATCATACTATAATTAGAATTATTATAATACTTTAGCTTATATTCATCATAATTTTATATATGTAGTAATTCATTGTATAATATATATGAATATATACATATATTTTAATTCATATAAGTAACTTTCTTTGATCAAAATCACTTCAGCTTTCTTTGATAAATCACTTCTGTTTATATTGTTATCAAAATGATTTATATCAGTGTATGTGTTTTGCAATTTCATGTATGTAGTCATTCCTTTAAATTCAGTCATAGGTAGCTCCTTAATTCATAAATGAAATCTCATAATATTCATTCCATTTTATATAAGTTGATTTTCGGACCAAAATGATTAAATCAATTCAGATTATGTGTGTCACACTTTTATGCATGTCATGCATTATATTTCACACATTTGGAGTCACAAAAGCTGCATACTGAAATCAAAATGATAAAATTCCTTTTTTCTGTATATGTATCACAATTTTATATACGTAGCCATACATTATATAATATGCTAAATTCAATTTGTATAAGTTGCTTTCTTCAATCAAAATTATTTAATTTCTTTAAACTGTATAAGTCACACTTTTTTAACTTTTCAGATGTAATATTCAAAAACAGTAAATTGAATGAAGAATTGAATCCCAGTAAAAGTTCTTTCTCTTGTTTCTCACTTTCACAAATGTTCAGTACTTTTTTCGTAAAATATAATTATATAATTTTTTAATGTAAATTATTTCCTGTCTTGATTCAAAAATTCAACGTTCATAACAATAGTTCGATAGAAAAATATTATGAGACATATAGTTTAAATGCGTTGGATTTTTTTCAAACATTGGTTCGGAAAATAAACGATCCACTTCTTTTCAAAGTACATGCAATTAATTTTTTTAAAAAATGCATTGCTCTCTATTGGTGATTGCTTTAAGTCAGTTTTCTTGTAAAAATATTTCAACAATCTCATTTGTAAATTCACCCAACAAGCTTCAAAAACAATGTAAGATTTGATTTAAAATAAAATTTCTTCAAAAGACCATTTTTCGCCGTTTTTCAGATCATTATCACTTGCTTTGCCAGCCTACATTTGAAATTAAAAATACACGTTCACTTTTTCTATTTAAGAGTCTTCTATGTAAAAAAATATATCTCATTGCTCCATAGTAAAATTACGTTTATTGTTTTTAATATTAAAAAAAAACTACCATATACATGAAACCATATGTAAGCACAGCTTAATATCTATGCTTATGATGTGCTTCTTAAACAAATGAAATCTTTCAATCAAATGACACGAAATAGAAAACAATCAAATTAAATGACAAGAGAGTTAAAAACTAGATTTTATTCACCTTTCCCTTGGAAGATATCCAGAATGCAAAAGTTGTTATACTGAAATCAATAGTTTCTTTTATTCATTGAGGTAATTGAACTCCAGTTTTCGAGAAATTACTAATATTTTATCTTTGCTCTGATTTATTGTACATTCTCATTCTCTTAATGACTATTACGTAGTTTCTTAGAAGATTTCATTAACTAATGAATTTTCGAGCTAATTTTCTGCTTATTTCAAAATTACAGTTGAAATTAATTTTATTTCCTTAAAATGTTTAAAATATTATGGAGATTTTTATGACCAGGGAATTATAAACAAAACAATAATACTTAATTCTTCATATTTTGAAACAAAATGAAAATTGCTTAGAGTTTTTGATACATTTGCTTCGCGAAAAGTTGTTCAAATATTCATAAATAAATTTTTATTCGTATTTATATCAAATATAAATTTCTTTCGACTTTTATCAAAATGCTTAATACATTCTTTGTAATCTAATTTTCAGTTTTTTTTAAATATTTTTTCTTTAATTTACTTAATTTAAATTGTGACTAACAATAAATTATGTGGTTAAAATCTTGTTTGTTTGTTTCAGCATTTAAAATATATCAAAATTACACATAAATGCTTTAGATAAATATTTATAAATATTATATCATAAATATAAAAATTTGTTTTGCTGATTTTACTTCATAAAATTTTTTCTGATGTATATATATGTCATTTATTATTTTGGTGTTTAATGAAAATTAGAATTGCATTTAAAAACTTATTATGTAATAGTTAATTTTGTTTAATAAATATTAGCTTTTATTAAAATCTTTATATTTATTTGTAAGCCCAATTTCGCAATAAAATATTTTGAAGAAAAAAAATGTCTTTCCGAATTTTAATTTTCACAAATTAAATATTTCAAATTATAAAATATTAGCTATAAAGTATAAACCAGTAAATATCTCAAATTGCTAGAAATTATTTTTATATTGCTTATTGTTATTTAACTGCATTTATAATTTTAAATCAATAACAAAAATGATTGAAGCTTTAAGTCATAAACTACTTCAATATAAAATAGAAAACAAAAACAACTGTGATGAAAAAAAATTCAACTAAAATTACTTACATAAATGAAACAAATTTTTTATGTTCGTATAAGTTAATTGTTTGGTCAAATTTCGGAAAATTATTTAAAGAAAAAATTTTAAAAGAAAATTTTTATCTGTGTAATTAAATATTGTAACTAATATCTTCTCAAAATATCCAGTTTTAAATGTGAATCATATGGTTTTCTTCAAAACGGTTTTCTCTTTCACAACGTAGTGTTCTTTCACAAAATTTGACAACAATAACACCACATCATATTCACAAATTTTAAATTTGTGTATCATCACAAGAATTATTTGTAAGTATCAGAATCATTTTAAAACAATATTGACTTTGGTAATGACTACTATCTTCTGTAGTCAAAAAATATTGGAGAACCGAGAAAAAAAATCCAATGCCAGGAACTACACGAAAATTCCCGAAACTTTATGAAAGCAGCGCAAAACTTGAAAAGCACACTTTCTCAAACTCGAGAAGTTGGTCATTCCGCAGGTGTTGGTCAGTGATATTTATCTCAACAGCAGCGCCAGTAGATAAATAAAAAAAGTCGTTGTCATCGATATATCGATTAGAGCTCAAAGCGACGTTCCTTTGCTAAATTAAATGCAATATCTAATCTAATCGAAAGCCAAGATAAAAACAAAACTATGCCTCTTAAAACATTAAAGCCGCGTTCTCGCAAACTTTACCGAGTCAGTCAGTCGCGTGACCCAACTGAGAAGTTTATGGGGCAGTTGTTTATCGTGAGAGCAAAACTTATAAGGAAAAAAAAATAGAAGCAAGTTCGAATACTTGACGATAGCATTGCAGATCTACAGTGATGTATTATCGTTCGATTATAGCCTATACGTGACAAAATGGCTGCACAAATCAACCAAAGTTACTGAATTATTTAGTGTCTTGTCAATTTCTATAACTTGTTTTGGAGTTATTAATCACTATACCATCAAGGACAACATTCAATCGTCCTCAAGTTTCCAACAATGTGTTATTTCATATCAAAATAAATTACGTAATATTCTTCAAAAAATCTATTAATAAAAAATATCTTATTAGAATATACTTTTTTAGATTCGTGATACATTGTTTGTTTATTGCTCCTTAAAAATTGATTTTTGTTTATCGGGTAAATATGGAATTAGTTCAAGAATAATTCACACATATGATTGAAACACCTGCTACTACATATCTTTATTTGTGTTCGAACTTGATTTTATTGAGTTATCCGGAAAGTGCGTGCTGATTTTGAAGGTGAAGGTTAATTGAAACGCCGCTCATGTAACTTTTGGTATATGCTAATAAATATTTATTACATATCTCATCCAGATACTTCTTCCATCCACCAGACAACTTGAAATTTTTGTTCCCTCACTCATTTCGATTTTGATTTTAAAAAAATTTAAAAAATAAAATGAAAATTTTCTACATGATTATTTGTTAGTCCAGTAAGATTTTTTGTATTAAAGAAAGTTTGTAATGGTTGAAATATCTGAAAATCAAAAGGCACATGACTTGGTGAATGTAGTGTGTGGGATAGAATATTCCAATCAAGTTCTAATAATTTCTGTAGTGTTGCCAAAGGCATAAGATTGCATAGGATTTTATTTTAATTTCATTTAAAGTAATAGCACAATATACGTTTAATTGTTTGTATCTAAATTTAGTACATTTAATTTAAAATACTTTCAAATGCCACTTAGATATTTACTTAAAATATTCATAATTTTTTATCAATCAGTGAGCTTATTAAATACTTTAGAGTTCCTTTTTTTTTACTATTTTAGAGGCCAACTTGCCCAAAGTACAAATGCAATGAGCATATCGTCCAATTAAAAATAACATTAGAACAAGGGA